ATCAATTGAATGCAAATAACGAAAATCCGCCTGCATTTTATTATGGTCTGCATCTAATTTCTTAACCTCTATGATGAACAACTAAACGTTTTGTCATCGTGTATACAATAGAATATATGATGTGCATTTGAAAATGGACACACTTTGTAGTCAATCATCTCAAATTCAACGACCTAAACAAAAGATATCTTCTACTTCTGCCTGCTGATTGGCTGAATAATCCTTTCTGCTTATCCGGTCACTGAGTTCAACTGAACATCGATACGTTGAATCTGGTCCTTCGTTTTGTTCAATGTTCACTTCATTTATTCGGATCAATCTGGAGAGTTTTATTTGAGGGCAATTCACTGAGCCCTTATTTGTAATAGCTACCACACATTTGACTATTATTTATTAAGTAAATATATTTCAGCAGGCATAAGCACATACCGATGCACACACACATACAAGAAGAGACACACAAAAACAAACAAACAAAATTAACACGCATATATGTGAAAGTACCATTTACTTTTCAGTGTGGCTAAGGTGTTATTCAAAAATATATGAAATTTCGTAATTTATCACATATTCTTAACATAGGTAGTCTTAGAGCAATCTCCCTCTCTCTCACACACATACACGTGGACACACACGCGCGCACACACACACACACACACACACACACACACACACGCGCACACACACACACACACACACACACACACATATATATATATATATATATATATATATATATATATATATATATATATGTATAAGTTGTATTTTGTCAGCAAGTATCCTCTGCAAATGTTTTGTTAAACAAGATCTGTCTATTCAAATTCCTGAATGGTTCTTTTCCTTTAACGGTAATTTTGCCAAAATTGACAAAAAAACTTTTATTTTTATATTATTTTTCAAGAGTACTTTCGAATATATCTCCATTCCTTTTCAATTACTGTACTGTGTGTAGTTCCGTAACTGGTTTTTAATTGTGGCGTTCTCATATAATATACATGTTAAAATAAATTTTGGTAAAATTGTCCAAATTACTTAACAAATCGTATTTATTTTATTTCAAATGTAACCAATGATAACACAAAACACAACGAAAAAACAAACAATAAGATTAACATTTTCTACAAAAATCAAATGCATAGTAATATAGTCAGTCAGTTATATGCCATGCTTGATACACGCTTAGGCGATCATGTATCTTTTGATACATAATTAATGAGGCAGATTTTTTCCGTAGTAGGTTGCCATTTCTTTCTACGGTAGATCAATTGCCATCCACCCGACTTGTCCTGCTATTTACCCATAACTAGGAAAGAAGAAGCGGATTCGGACCTTTTCCAAGGGTATTATCACCTAATGAATGTAATGAATTCAATTCCCCGATTCCTCAATCTGAGCCCTTATTCACTACACCACCGTGCCTAGTAATATAAACACGACAAATCTTTACTTCCAAACATCATAAAAACAACGTGTCGATAAAAACAAGAAAATTGAATTAATACTTTATTATCAACAATTTTAAAACCACTAATTTCATCAGCAAAAAATAATTCACCTGCAAGATCTACATTACAAAGAACTAATATTATTTACGAATTTACAAGCGTTTTAAGAAGCTGTGTTCCTGAACAATCTAAATTCGTAAATAATTATATTGGATATACTGCAACAGAAGATTCACATTACATCTCTCTAACCATAGCTCAAGTAGGTTTCATTTGAATAAATATGGTTAACTAGCAAACGCTCTCTTTAACATACACGTTGATAAAACAAATAGAATAGCCTCAACCACTTGGAAAAAAAGGCTAAAATTAATGGAAGCCTTTCTAATAAAAAAAAACCTACACTCAATAATATCAACTATGAAAACGGTCACAATGTGCAAACTGTGATTCAAAAATAAAACATTCATATAACTCTAGATACATACATAAAACAATGCATATATTCTGTTAAAAATGATATTAAATTTATCATTGATAATTGCCAAAAGTATAGCCAGAAGTGCTTGCAAATATTTGGACAATTTTGAATTAATTTATGTAGTGAAATGAGAAAATTATACGAACACATGAGAAAGTATATAAAAAGTCGACCAACCCTTATCAGTCGTTTTCAACCAAAATTGCATATATAATTAATACACCCCCCATATATATATATATATATATATATATATATATATGTATATATATATATATATATATATATATATATATATATATATATATATATATATATATATATATATATATATATATATATATATATATATATAGTTTTAGTTTCTGTTATATTTATAGGTAAAAGTGTTCAATATTAGAGTTAGTGCCTAAATATATATTAATGGACACCGTGATCAACAACAAACGATTTGAAGATATGTCGCTGCTTGGTTCTCACACACACACACACACACACACACACACACACACACACATATACATATATATATATATATATATATATATATATTTGTTAACAGAATTATTCACTCCAACTACCATGGTTACAAATAAAGCTGTAATACCTCAAATATTCATGGAAAACTTATGTGCATTTTTTCCAAAATAATAAAATATTAGATTTAAATAATGTGTGTGATGCCCACAATAATAGTTTTATTTTAATGTCAAAGAATGATTAAAAATCCACAAAAAACATTTAACCTGTGACAAATCTGTTGCTCTCTTGACTGAATAATCAATTGTGTAGCCTCTATTCTTGATTATTGCCTTTAATCATTATTAGTAGTTCCTTACAAGATCCCGTTATACAATGGTAGGTATTCTGCTCCATTCATTCTTGGTAAGAACTTCTAGTTACTCCAAATTCGAAGGACTTATTTCTCTTAATTTCTCTTTTAACGATCACATAATTCTTCAAAGGGGTTTAGCTCACGACTATATGCTGGGTACGCCAATACCTTCATTTTACTGTCATCTAAGTATTTTGCATTAATTCGTGCTGTGTGTTTTGGGTATTTGTCTTATTGCCATGTCTAGTGATGCCTCAAAGACTGCTTTTATATTATTTTGAAGAATATCCAAGTACTTTTCTTCATCCGTGATACCTATACTTTCACCAGTTCTCTTGGTTCAGTAGTAGCAAAACATTTCCAGAGCAGTATGTCACCTGCGTGCTTAATTGTAGGAGGGTAATTCATGGTTTGTGAACTTCATTCACTTTCCTCAGTACCCGATGGAAGTTAATGTGACCAAATAATTCTAGTTTTGATTCATTTGATCATTAAACAGAGTTCTAATATTTACCCCCATGCACTAGATGACTTCTAGCATAAGCTAATCTGGATTTTGGGTGTTTAACCTTATGCAAAGGTTCGTTTCCTTTGGAGACAAGTTCGAAGTCCTGCTCGATGTAATCATTTTACGACTGCCTTCGTCGATGCAGTCAACGCTGACATTTACAAAGTCCTTTGTCTTTAAATGAAGATTCTTCGAAACAATTTTCATTTCCATTCTACCAGAAAATTAACCGTCTTCTCAACACAATGAGGCCCATTGTATTTTTTGATAATGCTACGAATTGCCGATCTAAGAACATTTAAACGTTTAGAAAATATCGTATATCCAACACAATTTTAGTACGCATCAACTATCTTCTTTCAGATTTTCTTGTTATGTTCACTCGTCTTCGCCGTGGTTACAAAACAAATGAGTTATCGCGATAAGTGACACTCACATATTGTTTTCTTCATTATCTTTGAGAATGGCATAGAATCAAACCTCATTATTTCATTTTCAAAGGGTGTTTGCATTAAATGTTAAGTTAAGGAAAAATATTACAATTAGCATGGAGTAATAATATTACAAAATTTCTATTAGGGGTAAGCGATCAGTCTACAAGGATTTTAAGAGATAAATGAAATCCGAGTGTCGTGTCGTCAAATGCAACACAAATACAAAAAAAAAAAAACGCGAACGAATGATCTCAAAAAAAAAAAAACGGAAGAAGACCAAGCTAAATATGACAAGAACATTTATACAGCCAGTTACATGTATTTACATATTAAAAGTCAATATCCTTTGTTCTGGCCAGGAAGAGACCGATAGTTCGATTGTTCGAAATGATCTCGAGTGAAGAAATCATGTGGTATGGTACGTCAATACTTGTGTCTCTCTGTGTGTGAAGTACACTCTAATGAAACAGTGAACAAAGAGAGGCGAAACAAAAGTTACTTTCGTCGTGGCGTTGTTGATTGAGGCCTGATTTGACTGTCCTTTACTGACTGCAGATCTAGTCGCTGCTTGTTGTTGACACGCCGTTTTTATTGCTATGTGTCGACACGTTTGAATTCACATAGAAGAGGCACCAAGAAAATCAGCTCACTGGAGCAGTTGCCATGAAAATATTTGTAGAAAAGACAAAGGGAACTTACATCACGACGGTGAGAAAGAGAATGAAGTCGAGATACCAAATCAGAATCGATTACATTGCAGATTCCTCTCTGATCCTCGTGATGAGTATCAGGAGCACCAAATCAAATATGGCAATAGTCTTCAATTCACGGAAGAATCGTAGATTTGTCAATGAGCAAGATGGACACTGACGAGAAAAAACATATTGCGCGCCTGTGTGACCCAAAATTTCTTGCAGAAAATTGCTTCAATATAGTCGTTCCAATTCAAGTCAATTGAAAGCCAAAGGACAAGAATGCGCAGTGTTTTGCTCAGCAGGCGTTTAGCATGAGTCATACTGATGGTGCGCAGGAAAATTTCACGACGGTGGTTAAATGAGAGCAATTTCGTTTTGGAGGCTTTAAAATTTACTATCCATTTCCAGCTTAACTTTGCCAACTATGACGGATTATACATATATATATATATATATATATATATATATATATATATATATATATATGTATGTGTGTGTGTGTGTGTGTGTGTGTGTGTGTGTGTGTGTGTATATAAATGCATAATTATGAATATCTAAGCAGTGAACTGTTCATTTTGTATTTCTTCTTGAATCTCCATATGCATATCGAGATAAGCGTAAGGATAAAATTTATCTATCTATCTATCTATCTATCTATCTATCTATCTGTCTGTGTGTCTATCTATCTATCTAGCTATCTATGTTCATATTTGTCTCTTTGTCTATCATTTTAGCTACCTAGCCAGTATGTTGGATTTGAATACTTCACTGGCTGTTCGATGACAGGCAGATGAAATGAATTCGATTCGAAAATTGAAAAGCAAAGCTCTATCATATGGAATTTTAGCATTACATACCTCCAATACGTTTACGGTTAGGATTAGTACGGATTATATATATATATATATATATATATATATATATATATATATATATATATATGCATCTATCTATCTACATCTATATATATATATATATATATATATATATATATATATATATATATATATATACCTATTTTTTCTGTATGTTCTTATCTATCCATCTAGCGATTTATATTTCTCTCTGTTCAGATCTATATGTATGCGCTTCTATCTATCTATCTATCTATCTATCTATCTATCTATCTATCTATCTATCTATCTCTCTCTCTCTCTCTCTATATATATATATATATATATATATATATATATATATGTCTGTCAGTCTGTCTATGCGTGCATATATTCGTCCTAAAGAATGGGTTCAGACCAGTAATATAATCCCTTTCTGCTTAAATATTTGCCGAATATCGAATGTGATACTGACTCTAGATTCCCGGGACAAGCAACAATACGTAATTTCTCTGATGCCTATTGATTTATGCTGCAGTCAGATTCCATTAGCGCATTTATGTGGAAATTCGCTGAGTTTAACCCTGTTTTCTCATTTGTTATTCAAAGATTACTTCTCTTGCTTCTTCGTCGGCTTCTCCTCCTCGTCCTTCGTCTCTCAACAGTCATTCCTCTTACATCGTATTCGCTCAACGTCATCTTTTAACATTATTAAGACTAGTAGTTGGACTTTTGTATACATACGTTCAAGGCCTGTTACTGCTAAATAATACAGTATTAAACAATAAGCATAGTATTAAAGAGACGATAATATTTGGAGGAAAGCAGCACAAAGGACACTTGAAATGAGAAACAAAATTACGACTGTTGTCAAAATAGATGTACTCTATTAAACTCAAAATAAGAAGTAACAATTAGAACGGTTGATCTTAAAGTAAGTGATGTGAAACTCTAAATAATATGAAAGTGTATGGGGTACTATTGGATTGGGAATCGTAATTCATTGGGAAACTTGCAAACGATGTTGATTTGCGCATACATCTAAATTCCACCATCGGAAATATGAAATTTTATTAAAGACAGAGGGAAGTTACGTCACGACGGTGAGAAAGTGACTGAAGTCGAGATGTTAAATCAGAATCGATTACATTGCAGATTCAACTCTAGATTTTGTCAAGAACCTCGTGATGAGTAGGAGGAGTTAATTACTTTCCTCCTAAAATGTTAGCCGTTCCCTTATAAGGAAACATTCCGTATTTATTAACCATGCAATCAGTTTTTCTTTCGGTTGAAATTTATAAAATCCTTTCGTTAAAATATTTTTTCAGGGAAATAAGGCCCTAAAACTCTAGTAACACTTATTGGTATTTCTAATATGTTCAGGGAATTCTTTCCTGACGTTTATTTGAAGAAGAATGGAATATCAATATTATGTCATTATTTTCTCTTCGAGTTACATGTTATAGATAATTTAAGTCTTATTTGAAAATTAAAATCCTATAAAAGAATAGAATATTATTTGTAAATACTTTAAATTTTAAAATCAATGTCCTTAGTGTCACATATATTTTTACGTTAGTATCCTATTGGATCGGTGCAAATATTCAAGACGTTTTGAAGTGACTTTAAAGAAAATATTCAGACATTTGTACATAGATTTATTCAACCTCATATGCATTATTTTCTTCCATAATATTGGCAATCATTGAGACATCCATTATTCTTTACTCTCAGAATATGGCATTTTTCTTGATTGATTGATTCGTTGTCTATGGTTATTCAACACATTGCATGTTATTTACTCATAAAATATTTTTTAGAATGTAAGTATTTGGGAGGGATATAGTAATTATTTAGTGATACAAGTCTTTCTAATTAATCCATAGCTAGGGGAAGAGGTCGATTTATACCTTTTACGCGTAAGTGAATATAATGAACTCAACTGGAATTTGGAACTTGGCTCTCCGATTAACAATTCTGAGTCATTATCGATTACACCACCGCACCTCCAAACTTACAGCACATTGTGTTCCCAAGCGGTCGCCGATCTAGGTACTGACCAGTTTCGACGTTGCTTAACTTTGCTGATCGTACAGTGACTTGTGTTTCAACGTTATGTCACCGTAATCTTTGGCTACTTTCTAAGTGATGGAATGCTTTGAATGATTTTTACAGACTTCCTGAGAATTTAAATTAACGTTAAAATACCTCTTGTAGGAATGGCAATAAGTAATAATCCGAAGTGAATAGAGTGAACGTAGTAGGACACTCCAACAAAAGTGTGTCAATTTCTTCCGCATTTGCAAAGTGAAGAGGTGTCTGGCGTTCTCCCGAGTGAAAAAGAATTCCTTCAGAGTGTCCAATTCTACACACTTCGTCGATGGCTGTCTTTAATAAGTCTAAGTTGGAACAGTCCTTATGTGACTTGAACGATTGTTTACGTGTAAGGTGTATGTAATGCACAATGCCTTTGCAATCTTATCAGATACAGAACCCTCGGATGCAGACTAGGTTTGAAGTAGTTAATGATGGCACATTATGTTTTTAATAAGACTTACTTTGATCGATATTTTTACATATAATGCCTTTTTCATCGCCTGTGATATTTCTCCGAAAATACCCTATATTTTTTTCCTGTTTAAGCAGAGAAACGCAGAATTTGTCCCATTCAATCTTGAGGAACACAAACATCGTAACTATTCACTTATAAATGTGATTGTAAAGTCTTTATAACTCATATGGGATATAGGGCGTAACTATGAGTGACGTGTCCCTGGAATCATTTTAATTTGAGTTTTGATTTGGTGATAATCAAAGACTGAAGGACACACGGACCGTTCACAGTGTTCCTGATTAAAAGTTCTAATTCTTAACATAGCGAAATACAGAGAGTACTATCAGCTATTATACAACTCTTATTTTTCGTCCCAGGTATAAAAATACTTAAAATGATGAAAATCCGTCTTGTTTTTCTCGCTATTTTCTTTTAACGTAAAACCATTTCAAATTCTTAATCTAGCCACAGGTCATAAAAGAAAACGTTGTGTAGTATTGTCTTTCAGAATAATTACATATGTCACAAATTTCAGAAATACAAAATGAAATTACACGATCAGCCAATATTTGGTGCATGTAAAAACACATTATATTTTATCTTTCGTTTATGATATAAGGTCACAATATATATATATATATATATATATATATATATATATATATATATATATATATATATTAAAGAAAATCAGAGAATATTAAGCGGTCTGTTTTTCTTTAAAATATTAGCTCTGGATTTACATTGAGCTCTCAGGATTTCATCCCACTTTGGGACTACCCATACGGATTACCAAGTTTTTCATAAAGTATGTGTATATAACAATTCAGGATATTGTACTCCGATGAAGTCTTAATGGATGAAACGCGTCAGAAGTAAACATTTTACACTTTGTCATACAAATGGATATAGGTTGACGACTGAGTTGGTCATGAAACAGACTTTCGCTTCTAGGTGTTGAAATGAATATCCATTGTTTATTTACATATGTCCTATCCCTGATATTGAGCATTTTAACCCACAAATATAGCATACCTTAAAATGAGTTTTATCTATCTATCTATCTATCTATCTATCTATCTATCTATATATATATATATATATATATATATATATATATATATATATATATATAAATCATCATTGATAATAGTGAAAAGAATATCCGAAAGAACTCGGAAATACAGAACCTTCACATAATTTTCACATAGTTTATCGCCAGAAAAGAAAAAGAAAACACTAGAAAAATTAAATAAAAAAAAAACTTAATCGCAGTACCTTGTCAGTCGTCTTCAATCGAACTTGTATAAATGAGGAATTTCTGGTAAAAAAAAATTGCTGGTAACACAGTTACACACACACACACACACACACACATATATATATATATATATATATATATATATATATATATATATATATATATATATATATGTGTGTGTGTGTGTGTGTGTGTGTGTGTGTGTGTGTATCTGTATCTGTGAATAGTTTGAACATAGAAAATATCAAACGTCAATTTAAGAGTGTAGCATTTCTACCTTCTGCTGGGGAGTTCTTGGTCATCGGCGCCAATTTATTCATATGTTGGGTCTTCTTTATCTCCCGACAGTTGATCGCTTGGTGTTTTGCTTCAAGATGGAAAAACTTCAACACTGGAATTTTCCCTATACTATTTTATTAATCATCTCGACGTCTACATTTTCTAACTATTCAGCGTGTCCACTTCCTCACTGGGGAGCCATTTCAGACACGAAAGTTCTACATTGTTTGATGGTTAAAACTCGACTCACTTGAAAAACCTTGTTATATTTATCATTCTCACGGTCATTTAGACAATCAAAATCGAATCCTGTGTTTTTTCTTCTATCTGATCCCTAAGGTCAACCTCAGGGTGCCCGAGCAGAGATAAACTTCCTCTAAATAATAATCGTCTACTAAACAATTATGTAACAAGAGGATGACAATTTGCCAATTAACATGCAGATTTAATTCAACGTATAAACTGTTTATATCAACAACGGTCATAGCCTTGATAATGAAATCTTTTCACCACAAAAATAGCAAATTGTAAACAATGTAGTCATATATGTTTTTCTGAGTTTCTGTGTTTTTGTCTGTGTTTTTTGTGGAGGAATTTATGTTTGTAAATATGAAAAATGAATAAAATTTACAAATCCTTTAGATTTGTAAACGCTGGTGTAACGCATGCGGCTGAGGCGTTTTATCAATCTTAGCTTATTTTAAACATGAAAGAATAATGAAGACATGAACAAGAATTCACTCTCAATTGTCTACGAGATTAACTGACACTCCCACGTTGAAAAGCAGGAGATAATCTTATAACTTCCTTACGTATTAATAAAAATTATTACCAGAATATAGCGTCTCTACTCAAATCTAAAATCCTAGAAATTGCTCCGAAATATATCGAAATTCTGAAACCGAAAAAAAGTCATTTTTCTCTCGCATTCTATTTTTTTTCTATATTTTTAATAGTCTATTTCGAATTTCCAATTGCAAATTTATATTATTTGAAATTTAAATTTTTTTTTTATTCGGTGATAGAATGCTTTTCGTTTCAAATTTTAGATTGCTTATGACGGAAAGATTCTTCTTTGCGATTCCTTTTTGAATTCAGCTGTCCAGGTAGAGTAGAATAGAATAGAATTTCTCAAGTTTTTCCCCCTCACAGATTTTCAAATCTAAAAATGTATGTAAAAATTCCTGTTTCATTAACTAGAGTGGATCAAACTTACATACTTATATCAGAATCTAGCTCGCTAGCTATCGTTCTGCTAAGTGCAAAATATAACGCTAATTCTCAATCATTTCAAAACAGGCCTCTACATGCAGACATATGAACAGGATTACACACACACTACACACACACATATATATATATATATATATATATATATATATATATATATATATATATATATATATATGCGTGTGTGTGTGACTGGTTGACTTTTTATGGCGTATTAAGCTTTTATAGGTTACTTAAAAACGAAACATTTTATGAAAGTATTGTAAGATTTTTGGGAAATTATAATGATTTTCTCATAAAATCCTTACTATTAAAACCATTGTCGAAGCCACATATCTTTTTGGAGCGGTGCTGCAAGTTAGTGTTTTACGTCTATCTTGTTCATTTAGACACTGAGCTTTCTTTATTATTGAATTGGTAGTTTCTTTTATGTTGTTTTTTTTTTCCTTTCAGTTTATGTATACTTTTCCTTTCATTTTGTTGGTTTGTCTTTTATTTTTGTGTCTATATACGAGGGTCATTCAATAAATAATGTGTGAAAAGAAGTAAAACAAAACATTTTAAAAAAAAGTAAGCTTCTATCTGTAGTAGAAGTCCTTATACCGAAAAATTCACCTTATTTATTGAATGACCCTCGTATATATGAATAGATAATCTGTATAAAGAAAACGTACTCCCTGGCAGGGCTCAAACCATTTTATAGGGAAATACACCGTCTAATCTGGCTTCTTTAATATGGCTCGAATATAAAGTGTGACACAAGCAAAGCAGAGTAATGGATAGCGGCTCCGGTAGAGGGATCGGAGAGTCGAGTTCGAATGCCAGTCAAGTTCATTAAATTTACGTGCTGACACACTTACGAATGAATTCATCTCGCGATAGATTGGGTAGGAGAGAAAGAGGACAACAGTATATCGCGCACCAGTTCTCTGTATTTTGTCCTTTGTGGGGTCTGTACAAGCCATTAACACTTCAAGTCTGGCTGTTGGTTCTAAGAATAGAGCTGTTCGACCTACATAAGTCGAAAACGACGGTAGAGTTCAATATCTATATATATGGTATCTCAAAAATACTTTTAATAAAATTGGCGTTGGGTGGTTCCTCACGCTAAAACAAGGACAAGCATAAATACTTCGTTTTTGAGCTTTTAAGTTCAAAGATATTTTATAGTAGTATCAGGAACTCACCAGGAACCTACCAAGTATTTTTGGACTATATCAGCGTCTACCATAATCTTTAAATTTATTAACTCAAAAACTAAGGATTTGTGGACATATGTTTATATGGTCTTTTGGTCCTTGGTGTGTGGAATCCGCCCCCCAAATTTTGTAAAAGCATTTTGATACCCACTGTATATGACTCTACAGTCTGGACAGAATTGCGATAAAATAGCAATCATTTCAAGTACTAAGTTCCTTTGAATGCATACATAAGAACATACATACATATATATATATATATATATATATATATATATATATATATATATATATATATATATATATATATATATATAAATCATCTTACTTTGAGAGGAAATATCGATTATTCATGCACATATATATATTTTTTCTATCTATATTTGTATACGTATGCTAGAAAAAATTACCTTTGTAAGTATAAATGTAAAATAAATTCCTGTTTTTCACTCTCACTCAGCGATCAATATCTAAAAGCCTATGTAACCAGTTTTCTTGCCTGAATATACGCACGTATATTGTAACTTGAATTGTAACTATCATTCTTTATCCAAAGTTATTATATTTTCCTCTTTCCCATCGGACTTGAGATAAACAACACCTTGGAAAATGAAGGAAAATAGGAAGAACAGTCCACTGAAATGATACGCCGCTGATTTGCAAATCTACGACAACTAAGAAAGAGAGAAGAACGTTAGAACAGGAGAAAAACGAAATGGAAGCGATGAAACCATTCTGATTGCTTCAATTCAGAAGTGGAAATTTCAAATTTAAAAAAAAATGGTTGACAATAAATAGCAAACACGTTTTCTGATTCCCAAGCTGCGATTTCAATTTGTAAACGTTCCATTGTTATTAGTTACATTTTCGTGATTTATTTATTTATTTTATTTTATTTTTTTATTTTATTTTTTTCAGAATCTTTGATATTCATTTTACTTACTATTATATATTGATTATTTCGAACCAGTTTCATCTACTTTATTTTAATTATTACATATTTTCGGCCGTTTCACAATCCGGCTTTCTTCCTATCTGAATCTCTAAGATCCGTTGATGTTACAATCGTATGTAGATATTATTTCGCACGTTTCTTTTTTCGTTTTTTTTTATTTTGTGTGTGTATCAGGCTTCAGCTGCTGTACAATTTATCTATACTGATCTTTTTAATGTTGTGTCCCTTCAGGACAGAGATAGCAATATTTCTTCTAAAGCTTTATTTCGTCCGTGAATTGCCATGATTTCTTGGAAAAGACGTAGGCAGGTTACTTGTTGTCTTCTCAGTTGTTTAGTTTTTATTTTATTTTCATGCTAGTCTTACTACCACTAAAGGCTAGAGGAATTAGTTTACGCTGCTATTAACACTTAACTGGATGGGAAGAAGGGATAATTTTATGTCTTGAGCGCATATATGGGAAAGTATGGGCAACAGTCAATGCCAGATCTCGAGCTCTGAGATGATAACAATTACGCTACACGCACTCCGATAGCTGTTGTATATGCTAACAATACTAATAGAAAACTATATTAGCTGTAGTTTACAATATAGCTACGTCATAATTAAATAATAAGAAGCATTATTACAGTTCGACCTTTATTGTCTTTATCGGAATATTTCGACCGATGTCTTTTCCTAGTTCTCCGCCATATTGATTTTCTCACAGGAAATATGGAACGGGAAATCAGAGTGATATTATAATGTTGATATTTTACATCCGGATTTCTGTCTAAAAATTTCCAGAACCTTTTCTTCTGATATCACTCAGTCCTGCAACTGGGGTACTATATCTTAGATGATTCTTGAAAAATTTGCATTCCATTTCTTAGATTGTCAATATAAATTAATTTATTCGAATTATTTTTCTCATTTTTAATATAAATGTTCTTATGAACACAACGTCTCGGCTAAGTACCCTTTGTACCTTTTAAGGTTTTCTTTTATGTAACCAATACGGAATATCTTTTGATTACTGCATTATTTGTACCTGTGCTGTCCGAATCTGTGTATATTTGGTTGAACATGTGAACTGTGTATATCCACGTATTGCACACATGACAACTAGATGCTATCAATTATATTTAATCTGCTCTATATCCACTCCAGCGTAATCATAATAAATATCAGTAAGGTGCTTGCAGAATTTCTATTTTTAGAGGCGATCATGGCAGATTCGTGCCGTTTTTGGTAATTTTGTATTTCCATTTTGAGATGAAGAATTGTCAATACACGTTATTTAGATGAGCATAATCTGGCAGCTAAACTCTTTGACCGAGCCCGAACTGCTCATTGAATAAAAACATTAAGTAGCTTCAAAGCCAACCATGTAACGTTTCATCATCATCGACCAGACTCAATATTTTCACCTGTCATGATGAACTGTTGTAATATCAATGGAGCTCCCTAGCATGAACATCTATTGGGATTCAGTTGATACCGAAATTAAAACTCGTATATACAATACATTGCTCCAAAAGAGGCTCCAAAATGGTCGTTTCCTTTTAATACTCCTGAAACTACCTCACTCGTTCTATCTTTACAAGAGTTAGCTCAGACAAAAAGAGTGTATTGCTACCATATCTGAATGGGGCCCGCCCAATCGTCACTTTCAAGCCTGGATAGAGTTCAAAAGCGTTTATGCAGGCTTATGGGTGACAAAACTTTTGCATTCTATAATACCATTCTCACAGGCGAAACGTTGCTAGCCGCTCCCTAATATCTTGCTATTTTCATGGCAAATATTCGGACGGCACATATTACATAGTTCCAAAAGTTCAGACCTTCACAGCTAGGACTCAGCATGTCACCTACACAGTGCCGGCTTGTCAACATTCCCTTCGTATTCCATTTGCAAACAAGAAATTCCATACAGTGGGCTTCTTCCCCAGAATGCTTACTTTGTGGAACAAAATGCAGAAAGAAAACTTCCCCGCTTAATATTAAGTTTAGGTGCAGCCATAATCTCTACAACATATCTCGATGGTATTTACTACACACTTCCTTCCTTAACGGACTTAAAACTACCACATTTAGTAATCATCTACCTTGAGTGGCTCTTGGGTCTTTAATTGGGTGAACAACAGTATAAAAATTATTCCAACTATTGTTCTCGTCGTGATTATTGAAGATGTTATTACTTATAGTTGATGACCTGGCCCTTTTTTGGAAACTAGATAACCACAGTTTTATTAGCAATGACATCCGAGTAATATTTTTAACTGATATTATATTAATATGTATATGTTCAAACGTCTTATTCACTATGAAGATTCTCATTAGACTATCTATCTATCCATTATTTCGCAGCAGAGATCTCAAGATTACATTATTCCTTATGCAGGTTAGATTCCAACCGTTTGTTTTCACATTTTATACTAAAATCACTAAACTTTTTTTTAATTGCACTTACTGCTATTCAATAAGCTTAATTTTGGAACATCAAGTAAGACTCAAGCCAATATAGTCATAGGCATTTGAGTGATTCTTATGATAAAATTACTTCTCACCGAAACAAAGATTCTCCTGGTGTAGCACAAATTCTGATCAACAACCTTGACATATTCGGGAAAGATATCAGAATATCCAAGAAACAATGCTGGCAGCAAACATCATGCATGCGCATAGGGAAAGACTTCAGTGAATATATAAAAATACAAAGGGACGTAAGGCAAGGATGCGTCTTCTAACCTGACCTGTTCAACCTGTACAGCGAGGCAATTCTGAGAGAGTTGGAAACCCTACAAGTATTTAGTGTTGGCGGTCACAATCTCAACAACATGACATACGCAGATGACACAGCACTGATAGCAGACATGGAAAAGAAACTACAAATTCCCATGCAGAAGATAGCGATGGAAAGTGAGAAGAGGACTAAGCATAAACTACAAGAAGACGGAATGTATGGTCATCAGTAAGAGGATGAGCCCGAAATGCGATTTGCAGGTCGAGAACACTAGAATCAAGCAGACGAATCAAGTTTAAATATCTGGCAAGCGTTTTAAGAGAGGACGGTGACACCGAGATCCGTAGACGTAGTGGGATGGCCAAGGACGTATTCCAAAAGCTGGACAGAGTATTGCGAGAATGAAGGCTTTATTTGGTAATAAAGAAAAGGATACTGAGCTGTTACTTGACATCAGCGTTTCTTTCCGTCAGCGAATGCTACAGGATTTCTTCAAGGATGAAGAAAAGACTCGGGGCGACGGAGATCTGGTTCTACAGAACGATGCTGAGGATTTCGTGGACCGAGTGTGTGTGCAACGATGAAAGAGAAGAGGATTCCACAAGGAGAAGATACATGCTTAACATCAGGAACAGATAGCTGAACTTTCTGGAACATATAATGAGGAAAGAGGATCTAGAGAATCTGATACTCACGGGTCAAATAGAGGGAAAGAGAGACAAGGGTAAGCAGTGAGTGACATTTCTGGCGGGCTTAAGCAAGAGGATGAGAGAACGTGGTTAGGAGGAGATAGCAGAGGGGAGGAACTTACTGAGAGCAGCAAGGGATATAAGAAGGTGGAGAGACATGTTCGCCTACGTACTAAAAGGACATCGTACATAAAATAAAGGAGAGAGTCACTGAGGACTAAACCCACTACAGGAGGTTGTGTCTAATTTCAGTTTGAGATTTATTCCATAGAAAACAACTGATTGCTTGTAAATCTCTCTTTCCGTTCAGTTTTACTCGGCCACCTATCTTTTACATTATCTTTTCTTTCTTTCTTTCTTTCTTTCTTCGTCGTTTCTTTCTTTCTTTCTTTCTTTCTTCGACGTTTCTTTCTTTCTTTCTTTTTCATTCTTGCTTCATTTTTTTTTTTTCTTTCATTTTCCTTCTTTCTTTCTTCATCGCTTCTTTTCACTTTCGCTTTTCTTTCTTTTTTAGTTTTTACGTTTCATCATTTCATTTTCCTTTCTTATTTCTTTTCTTTCTTCATCGGTCTTTTTTCTTTCATTTTCCCTTTTTTTTCTTTCCTCCTTTCTTTCATCGCTTCTGTTTCTCTTCGGTTATTTTCTTTCTTTCTTCATAGTTTATTTTTCTTTCTCCATTCTTTTCTTCTTTCTGTTCTCTCTTTATAGTTTCTTTTATCTTTCACTTTTTATTTTTTTTTTTTTTACTTTTCTTTCTTCATTCTTTTTTCTTTGTTTTGTTTCGTCGTCAGTTCTTTTTCGTTTTTCTTTTTATTTCCATTTCTCTTCATTTCTTTTATCTTTTGTTTATTTCTTTCTTCGTCATTTCCTTCATCTTTCATTTTTCTTTCCTTCTTTCATCTTTTCTTTCTTTCTTCAATCTTTTATCATCGTTTCTTTTTTCTTTCTTTCTTTATAAATTTTCTAACAGCCTCTTGATATTAAACACACCTATGTTGCTGGTTTAATTCGCAAGAATAAGAAACATTGTAGTGTTTTATTTTTTTTAATGCAATGAAACGGTGTTGTTTAGCGCCTTAACTAAAATTTATTCTACAATCTTTTCTGGTCTGACGGGCGTCAAGATTCATGTTCTATTCTCTCTCGAATGTCCTTTTAATATATAAAATATTGCTTTTGTTTCACAAACTCTTTTAATTTTCGGTTTTCTATTTTAATTTTTCTTTCTTTTTAATAGTTTTATGTTTTTTTTTTCTTAGTCCGGCGATTTTTCTTTACACGTTTTGTGAAAATATATTTCATTATCTTTACGTTTCTTCTAGAATTTCTTTTTTTTATGTTCGTTTTCATTTCAAAGGATCTGAACTTTTAGCAGTGTGAGAAAAGTTCCGAGCGCCCACTTTTTCTGAAAAAAAAAATATTGATTACACAATAAAGACGTTTATTTTTTTATATTTTTCCCTACAAAAAAAACTTAAAAAAAAAAACTCTTTCTACGCGCTTAATTTATAAACTGGCTTCTAGGTTTTGATTAAGCTCTTTCTAAAACCAAATATTTCATCCGACTTCTTGAATTTAAAAAAAAAAAAATCTTTAAAAATTCAATCATTCATAACGGGTTCACGTTTCTTTCTTATACTTTCTTCGATCTTCTCTCTTGTTCGGCTTTTGCTTTTCCTTTTTTTTTTAAAAAAAAAATCTTTCTGTGTATTGCTCTTGCAATTGTATTTCTGTTCAGAATCTTTTCTATTTATTCATCGCTGTAATTAATTCTTGTTTGCCAATTCTCTTTTTTTAAATTTTAGTCGAGATTTACTTCCACACATCGATTCACCTATTTTATTTCTTAATCATGTTTTTCATTCACATAAAAAAAAAACAAAAAACGTTTCGTTTCGTTCGTCAATTATTTCATAATTTCTTTCATTTTTCAATACAGTCTCTAAACTTTTTTCTTTATTTCAGCTGGCATTTATTTTACACCTATCTATCTATCTATCTATCTATCTATCTATCTATCTATCTATCTATCTATGTAAGCCTGTTGATATCAATCTATTCAGCCTGACCTGACGATATCTATCTATCCTCTCTTTGGGATATATATATATATATATATATATATATATATATATATATATATATATATATATATATATATATATATATATATATATATATATATATATATATATATATATATTTCAGCCTGTTCATATCTATCATATCTATCTATCTATCTATCTATCTATCTATCTATCTATCTATCTATGTAAGCCTGTTGGTATCAATCTATTCAGCCTGTCGATATCTATCTATTCATGTGTGTATATATTATATATATATATATATATATATATATTTCAGCCTGTTCATATTCATCTATCTATCTATCTATCTATCTATCTATCTATCTATCTATCTATCTATCTCAGCTTGTTTTTCCCCTTCTCCTCTCCCTTTCTATCTACTAAAAATATTCATATCTATCTATCTATCTATCTATCTATCTATCTATCTATCTATCTAGCCTGTTGATATCAATCTATTCAGCCTGTCGATATCTATCCCTATATATATATATATATATATATATATATATATATATATATATATATATATATATATATATATATATATAAGCGTGTTCATCTATCTATCTATCTATCTATCTATCTATCTATCTATCTATGGAACTGTTCTTCTTATATATCATTTTGCTGTTCTTTTCACAGTTTATCATTTTTACCGCTTTTATTCATTTTCGAATCATATTCAATCTAAGATTTCGAATGATCAAACGCGTGTCCCGATTTTAATTTCTTTGCCGATTAAGTTCATTCAGGTTCTGTTCTCTCCTTTTTTTTGCAGGATTTATTTTCTGTACATTTCTTGTTCGTTTTCTAGAAGTGGAATTTTTATATCGGTCATTTATGTGCAGTATTTCTTTTCTGTGGCATTTTCGTACCACCACCCGGTATAAAACTTTATATCTGATGCTCATCACGAAAAGAGCATCTGATGTTATTCGGAAAGACGTGCCGGGTTATCCTGGAGCAAATATCAATAAAGTACTCAGTAAGATGTACACAAACACACATACAAATACACACACGCATACAAATACACACACACACACACATATATATATATATATATATATATATATATATATATATATATATATATATATATATGTGTATATATATATATATATGTATATATGAATATTGATTAGAATCCAGCAGAAGGATAGAATACGGAACAAATAGGAAACGTTTATAAATTTAACTTAACATTAAGTTAAAACTGTGATGCACAAACTCACAAGAAATATGCACAAGAACGCTGCTTGACAAGGCAAATACACGTGAGCTCTTCTTAACCAATAAAAACAGGATCTAAATATACCAAAAACAGATTACTGAATTTTCTGATAAGTTTTAAATAAAAGCGAAACATGTTAAATTTATAAATGTATCCTATTTGTTCCTATCGTTCGGACGTCTCGCCACACTAAAGAGCTGTGATACAGTGAAACAGTCTGTGGATGATAATATATATGCTACCGGGAAATTCGCTTGAGCTCTCATGAGAAAAATGTAATTTTAATAAATAGTGGCTCATACCGGTCTTAAAGCATTGCTTTTCCACCAAATTGAATTGAGCTCTCCGGTCCACTGACGTATTTTGCATAGAAAACTTTAAAATGTCCCTTCCTCTCTGTCATGTGACGATAGCCTAGGGGTGGAATCTCTGACTGATCCCAAATCAGTTGTATTTCCATCCTGGCTTGAACCAATCGGACGTCTAGCCACACGGAAGAGCTCTGATACAGCAAAACAGTATGTCTGTGGATGATCACACACACACACACACACACACACACACACACACACACACACACACATATATATATATATATATATATATATATATATATATAAAAAGAAGAGAAGAGAGGTGCCGCAAACGTTTTTTTTTTGTACTGTGGATTTATTTAGAAAACATATTATGCCTTGTTTTACATAATTTTTACATAAAATTATGTAAAAACAAAGCATAATATTTTTTCTAAATAAATCCACATTACAACCAAAAAACGTTTGCGTCACCTCTCTTTCTTCTTTTTTAATATACATACTTTTTCTCGTTGGTACCACTACAACCTCTTTCTTTTTATATATATATATATATATATATATATATATATATATATATATATATATATATATTTAAGGTTTAAAAAGCAAAATTGTCCAGCCCGTGTAACTGTAAAATTATCCAATTATTTGATTAAGCTTTTGAACCATTGTATCTTAGAAATAACTAAAGATATCTTACTGGATTGATGTGAGGTTTTTATAACACTATTGAACTCTACTTTGGTCAATAAGAATGTATAATTACTCCCCAAGCTTAACAGAAGAATTGGGATGAAATCGATCATAATTAATTGTTTATAGCTAAAGACTGGAAGTTCATGAAGAATTGAAATAAACTTAAAATGGAAACATAAATACCGGTAATTATTTCTAAATGATAAGATCAATTCTGGCATCAGTCTAAACGCTTAGGCATCTATAGTTGCTCCCCCTTTGGCTATGACATCCTCAACCCTATTACTGAATGCATCCTAATCATTTTTAATAAATTCTTTATCGATGTTCTCCACCCTGCTCAATAAGATAGATTTTCTGAGGGCTTGCAGGTTACTGTGCGGGATCTCACATGGTTTGCTGGTCACTTTCGTCCAGCTGTTGAAGTCTAAGGGTTTCAAATCAGGCAATAAAGGAGACCAACTTTCCTTATCACAAAACATGTTCGCGAACTCATCTCTGGGGAATTTTTGCGCCACTGCGCACGTGTAGCAAGGAGCTCCATTATGTTGGAATGTAAATTTGAAGGTCTTATTTATCTTGTTAGAGTTTCGATTGTCTCTAGTCTCAAGATGCTCAGAAATAATCCACGTCCTTACCTTTTTCAAAACTTCCCGTCAGGCTCTCATCCTTTTGAAACAGGATCAATGACATCTTTTTAAGTCCACACAGGCTAAAAACCATTACCTTGACAGGCTTTTTTCACTTGAAAGTGACATTATTGTCTCTCTCATGAAGATCTGAATCCAGAATACGGCCACTGCGTCTGTTTGTGTACGCATAGGAGATTCGTAGGAGATTATTCCAGGATCATTTTCTAACTTATTCATAATGATCTTCGCACTGTTTAATCTTCTAACTTTCTGTCCTCGAGTAATAAGTTGCTTCACAGGTTTCACGTACAATTTAATTTTAACTCTTTTTTTTATTGCTCTTTGAACTGTCATAGCTGAAACTCCTCTCGCACCTGCCAAACGTCTTATGGATTGAGTTGGATCTTTTTTTGAATTGATCGCTTTAACTCTAAGTTGAAATGATCATCCCTCTTGCTGTTGTAACCTCCTGGTCTAGTTTTCCTCTTATATGTTTTATCTCTGTAAACTTACCCACGTTTCTTTTGATGATTCTCGAATTGGCTTTGAAGATGGAAGCCAGAGTATGAATGTTGGCACCATTACTAAAGGCCTGAATGATATTGTTCGACTCACCATTGGCCATTTGGAAAGACTGTGGGGCTGACACAAAACAATTTATATCTGTTCTATTTATGGGGGAATTACTCAAAAGGTTTTTCAGTGATTCTTGTGACTAATGGTGTCGAGATGGCTAAACATTCTTTCTGAAAACCTGGAAGAAATAAACACAGTTTAGATTTTTATATATGTTAATCATTTTGTGGGAATGACACTTATGCTGTTATATGATGTGGATAATTTTGCAGTTAGACGCAGACGCACGCGCATACACACACATATATATTATTTATTATATTTTTTCATTTAGGCAATAACAATTTACTCACTACAAAGATAAAACTTCGTTTCTGTGCATTTAAAATTGCACTTCGACAGGTGTGAACCAAAATGGTTACGAACAATTCTGTTTGTAAGCACATCGCTTGTGAAACGTCACTTCTTTATTTACATTTGCTTTAAAAAGTAGAAAATAAAAAAAAATGCATTAAGGCAAAAATGTGACAGAGTGAAATAATAGTGGTTGTTGATAGCAGTTTGGTGAAGGAAGATTGAAGTGTTAATGTAATGGCTAAATCTGAAAAATTTCTCTTCGACAACAACGATCAAGGATTTAAGTACAGCTATATATATATATATATATATATATATATATATATATATATATATATATATATATATATTTCCGGTTACATCTTTAATGTATTAAACATCCGACAACATTCATATTTCTCTCACTTAAACCGTCTCTGACTCACCTCTCTAAAACTTCTCTCTGTTAAGTTTTAATCCCCCGCCTTCTCTTGTCTGTTACCCCTCTCTATAGCTCTAAAATTCGTCCCACACTCTCATACTTACACTCTCTCTAAATTTTATTTTTTATTTCCGGAGTTGTTTTTTCTGTTTTCTTTTTGAATTTGAATTCTGATGAATTGATCGTATTTACGATTACAATGGAATAAATTATGACTATGGAATATTAGTGTTTAACCTTTTATATATATATATATATATATATATATATATATATATATATATATATATATATATATATATATATTCCTGCCGCGGTATTGTAGCTTCTCCATGTCTTTTTTCTCTTTTCTATGTTGTCTTTATGAAATGAAGTTCCCGTCTGTTTACAGTTGAAATTCTTGATAGAACTTCAAATTCTATGCTTAGTTATATTCTCTCATAGTTTTCGCTTGTGGAAGTCTCTTCAGAATACTTGTTTCCAGTCAACTTTGATCTTTAAAAGCTAAATTCAGTATCAATCGTTATCTTCTGTCTCATAATTCCTGTTTTTTTTTTGTAATGTTCCTTCTCTTTAATAATTTCTTTTTCTAATATTCTTAACCTATTGCATCTATGTGGCTATATTGTCATTTTTGCGAGTGAAATGATCAAAACAAAAAATCATATAACGTAACATTTAGGGAATTATATTCGTATAAAGAGTCGTTTATATATAGACTTGAGGAGTTCAATAATTAGGGATTTTGAAATGTTTATCTTACACTTTAAAATTGTCGTCAGTTTTCCAAAGATTGTAATAGAAGCCGGATACTTGGACAGGCTCCTCTAACAATGACCAAATTTTCCGTCTCCTTTTCTGTTTTAAGAGACAGTAGACTCAAGATATATGAACGCGTTAAATATTTCAATGCCTTACCTTCGATGAAAACTAATACATTACGTCGGTTGTATTGCCGCATCATGCGCGCTTAGATTTTTTAAGGTTGTTCGTCAGTCTCCAGGCATTTCATTGAAATTAACGAAGAGTGACTGCGTGCCTTGCAATATACGAGGCAAAAATATAAAAGCCCACTGCTGCGGTGTTAACCTCGTTTAGGTTTTCTTATTAAAACGCTTTTGATTATACAAATTTTCACTTCTGAATTTCCTGTCCTTCAAGTTGCTGATACCAGCCGTTTAGTGCGATTCTCTTAAAATGACTCTACCCACTTGCATGTTGACCTGAGCTAAAACGATTTTATGATTTGATCAATAATCCTTGCTTGCGAGCGTACGGGTTATCTTACTCTCTATCACGACAGCTAACGATAACATAATCGATCATATGGCAAGGACCTAATCTAAGATAGCTCCAAGTGATTTTAAGGTTAGTCTCCTTCTGATAAAACTGAATTTCACGCATTTAAATCAAACATAACAAAGAGGGTCAACAGCATAAGTGCATTAGAATAGACTTTGCTGATGTTCATAACATGCAAGTTTAGAATGGAC